CTGTAACATGGTGAAATTAAAGAGAAGTTAAAATCAGCATTCTAACAAGAGCTTCGCAGGTCCCGGTTCTGCCACTATTGAATGAATGAGCTGAAACGTGGAGGGAAAAAAAAACTTGCTACTGGTAGGGAGCCGCGAAATGCCATGATTATCAGGGAGTAGCGGAAACGTTCCCTGTAATTAGCTAGCGGTCACGTACAGGGCTTTTTTAATTAACACCTGAACTTCTCATACCTACTGTGAACACACCAAGGGAACAGCCGTCATCTTCCCTGCTCCAGATTTTTGCTGCGGGCCAGATGGCCCTGACCATTTTCTTTCTCTGCTTACAGAAACACACTCTAATTCACCCACCAACATAACTTGTCAGCTTCTACTGTAAAACAGTGATCACAGTTTGAAGGTATCAATACAGGTGGCCTACCGTGATTCTCTTATATTGCTGTACCAAAGTCACCATCAAACATTCCTCATTTGAAAGCAACCATAGCTAATTGCGTTACTGATTTACATCACAAGTTATTGTATTACCTACTCATGGTTAAAAACATGTTTTACTCTGAAAGTTTTGGACTAATAAGTATTTTTGATGGTTAATACCACAAGAATATGCTACCAATTTTTACTTGTACAGTGGCTTAATCACTGCCTCTATAGTGAAGGAATGGTTGCTGGAATGGTGGACAATAAATATCTAACAGTACTCAACAGTGCTGTGCAAAAGTGTAGGGCTCAAGCTGAGGAAGAACACCATATCCAATTGAAGTGGCAGAGGAATGCAATAGGAAGAATGTAATTACTTGCATGAGAATTTGCCTAGAAAACTGAATCCAACACCCCCTTTCCTTTGAAAAATGTACCTTTTATCATATAATCACCTCAGTTTCCTTGCTAGGTGAACATTGCTTTGTTAGAGTGTTGGCAGGAAAGTTAGGAGAAAAACAACACATACAACAGAATGAATGTTTCCTGAATATCTATTAATTTCAAGCTGATATAAGAAAGAAAATGTCACAGCTGCCTAAGGAAAACAAAATGGAAATCAAGAAAAAGGGGAAATAAAATCTGTTTTGACCTTCACACATTTCTGAACTTCTGGAAGCCAGGGACAGAAGCAGAAAGAAGCCAGGACACTTCTGACCCAGGAAATGCTAAACTCCACACAAATGCCTTTTTCCCCATAGGATTTAAGACCTGGGGCTAGACCTACATTTGGAAACTGCTAAAAATGGTTTGGCCATTTGTTAGGGTTTTGATGAGGGCACTCAAATGTTTAAAAAAAATGACCTGGGATCTTTTGGATGCCCTTAAGTCCTGGAAAGAAGACCTTAATTCTACGCTCATTAGTAAGAGCAGAATCCTCCATCCAGAAAGTGATTCAGAGGCAGCACTGTGGGAATGCCTCATGTTTAGAAAGCCGGCACCCAGCCCTGCAGTGCTGGGCTCCTACTACCAGGCACTGTGCAGGGGGTGGCTACAGGGAATGGTATTCACCCTGTGTGCTGCCAGACTAACACTAGAGAGTTCCTCAAGCTAGTAAGCAGGGAAACCCTGAAGGAGAGGTACAGATTTAACTCTGTCCTCTGTGGCCCATGTGTTGTACGCAGTTATTGCAAGGAAACTTCCCCTCTTCAAATTCACAGCCTGTGGGAAAGCAGCCTAAATTACAACACAGGGCAGAGGTTTGCTTTGCAAAACTCACCTCAGGACAGTCTACAGTGGCCTGGTTGACATTTGCTGTTGGAAGGGAAGTGGCTGACTCTTACTCACCTTGGTCCTTCAAAATTCGGCTCAAAATTCAAAACAGACTCTGCCCTTTCCTATTTCTTTGCAAAGCTCCCAATCCAGCCAGTAACAGGCATGTGCCCTCCCACCTGCTCAGACACCCTGTGCAACAGAAGGATAGATGCTCTTGGACAAAGGGAGAGCGACTGGTAATCTATACATTATGTACAGAGGATGAAGAGGGGTAGCTCTCCATGTTAACTTTAATCACAAGGGCCCTGGAAGCAGCAGAGGTAAAAAAAGCTTATTAGCTGAAGCATAGCACCACAAAGCAATATTAACCTTTCATGCAGAAGCTAACTTGTGTGTGCATGGTCTACATATGTGCCAGAGCCAAAGGAGAGAGGGGATAGGGATACCTGGCCTCAATCACTGCTCTGGTCATCTGTTTGTTACGCTGTCTGACTTTCCACAGGTGATAAAAACGGGGCGGTCTGGCATCTGTACAGGCTGAAGACAAACACTATACATTGAAACACAATGGTATACAGTTGCAGCAAGAAAGAAAACAGAAGAGATTGGGGAGACAAGTTTCAAATATAATTCACTTTAATGACATATCATATTTTAGGCTGGCCTCCCTTCACAATGATCCACAGAAGGAGTGTGACCAGCAGGTCGAAGGAGGTGATCCTGCCCCTCTACGCTGCTCTCTTGAGACCTCACCTGGAGTATTGTGTGCAGTTCTGGTGTCCTCAACATAAAAAGGACATGGAACTGTTGGAACAAGTCCAGAGGAGGGCCACGAGGATGATCAGGGGACTGGAGCACCTCCTGTATGAAGATAGGCTGAGGAAGTTGGGGCTGTTCAGCCTGGAGAGGAGAAGGCTGTGTGGAGACCTCAGAACAGCCTTCAAGTATCTGAAGGGGGGCCTATAGGGATGCTGGAGAGGGACTCTTCATTAGGGACTGTAGTGATAGAGCAAGGGGTAATGGGTTAAAACTTAAACAGGGGAAGTTTAGATTGGATATAAAGAAGAAGTTCTTTACTGTAAGGGTGGTGAGGCACCGGAATGGGTTGCCCAAAGAAGCTGTGAATGCTCCATCCCTGGCAGTGTTCAAGGCCAGGCTGGACAGAGCCTTGGGTGACATGGTTTAGTGTGAGGTGTCCCTGCCCATGGCAGGGGGGTTGGAACTAGATGATCTTAAGGTCTTTTCCAACCCTAACTATTCTATGATTCTATGATCCTATAAAACTAGTCTTAACAGAGACATTTACAAGCACAGAGTATAGTTGGAGGAAGCAAAGACCCCTTTCATTCCAGGAAATACAGAGAAACTTTCCATGCCCACATATGGATCCATGCACTCACAAAATCTCCTCAAATGTAACTTTAAGAGAAGCAGCAGCATTGATCAGCTTGGATCAGCCAGAACCACTTCATTTTGATTGAGGAGAGGAAAAACAACAGTAAAGCTCAAACCGTGCAGTTCAACAATTTGGGCCAAGTCCTAAAAATAGAACTGCTTTCTTATGGAAAGAAATACCAAAAAAAAAACCACCCCAACAATCCAAAACAAACAAACAAAAAAATAATAAAACAACTGCCAGAAGATCTGAACTGTTCTCAAAATTGTCTGAATTTGGTGCCAAGCACACAGGGCAGCCTAATACCTAAGAGGCTACCTGTGCCAGTTCTGAATCCCTTCTGCAACTAGAGACTGTATATCCAAGACTGGGAAGTGACTATGGAAAAAATCCTGTTTTCCAGTGGGCAAGCTTTCCAGCCATTTTAACCCTTGCTTCCATGCTTGCCTTGAGGCCTCATGATGCAGTCTTTCCCTGGCAGACTGCCTCCAACTGCCAGCACCTGTAGCCCAGCATGTTACCATGATGGGACCAGTTCCCGGCACCCACCCTATAGCAGCTTGTGGGGTGAAGCAGCAGCTTTAGAGCTTGCTAGGAGAGGCAAGGCCAGCGTCTCCAGTCTTCCGTGCTGCCTGGGCTGGGCATCTTTAGTAGCACCCATCTGCAAGAAGGAAGACCAAAGGCTCCAGCTGGGGGGGTGCTTCCATGGGCTCACCCCCACCATGCCCACTGGGCACAGAACAACCTGCCATCTTCCTCCCAGCAGGGAACAGGACATTACTGGTGGAGAACGGGTTTGCTTTTGCACAACAAATCACTAATGTGAATTATCTGGGTGAAATTATAGTCATGGAGTAAGGCCTTCCTGTGCTTGGTGCTATACAAATGCAGAAGGAGATGTGCTGTCAGTGGCCTGTGAAATAATTTAAGAAGAAAGGCAGTTTTCTGTTTCCCTGCCTGTACTGTTCAGAATGGGCGAAACAAAAAATAATGTTAAGAAAGAAAGTAACAAAGTGGCTTACTTTTATCCCCTGTGAGACTCCCTATTATCTTACTTAGACACAGGCAGAAATACAGCTTCTCATTATTTTGCTTTCATGCCCAATTTCAAAATGTATGGTAATAAGAGAACATATTTACTTCAGGAACAGAATATAGGAATAAATGTTTTCTGCACATAACACTGGAAAGAAATATGGGTCTTTATTATCCATGCAGGAAGGCAGGATTCTGGATTTTCACATATCACATTACAGCTTCACGCTAAAATACCTGAAGTGTCACTACCAACATCTGGCAAAGGAGTTCCCAAGTGTTACCAAAACTGCACCTCCTTTTTCTCCCTATACTGATGGCCTAACAGATGTTTGTCCAAAACACCTGAAGATGCTGCCTGCAAAGAATCCAGGATGGCAGCTCTACCATTACCCTCTGAAATCCTTCCCAGACCCTGGAAATGCCTGTGAGGCATTTCACTTGTGGTTCAAGGCAGTGTCTGTATTAGTGATTTTGACTTTTGCCTTCAGTATAAAAAGGTATTAAAATAAGTATATTAAAAAAAACATCCTTAGTAGTACATTGTTAGTTAACTTCATCAGTTTTATTCCTGCAAATCAGGCTCCATCACTTTCCATATAAACTCCAGACCCAGTCCTAGCTTCACTTTCCTGAAAACCTTTGTTAGGGTGGCAGGACAAGCTACTTTCTTCCACCCCACATGACTGAAATTTGTATAAGGAAGAAGAGAGGCAGGACATTTAAGGAGGAAAGGTCACTTTTCATGTAAAAAGGATTTTTAAGAAGCGAGGATCCCGGCTGAATTTTTGTATGCCAAATACAAGAAATATAATATGAGAGAAACAGCAGTGCTATTTTGGGTCACATTAAGTATCGTATTCTGAATTACCCTTTTATTAGCAGGCAGTCCTTTCCTGCCTCTTCTTTCCAGCATTTACAGACCTCAGGTTCATACAGTTCCATTGCTGCTTTGAGGAGGGCGTCAACTTTCCTTCCCTTAAAAGATATAAGTAAATCAGAACATGAACTTAGCAAGCTGCACATCACAAAGAACAGAACAGCAACTCTCATAGTTCTTAAGATGTGTTTTTAAGGAGAAGGTTAACATTTTTTATATTAGATTTATCTTCTTCCTAAATGCCTGACCCAAATAAGCAAAGAGAATGAAAGCCTAAAGCAATCAGTTCAAATTTCATCATGTGATTCTGGCCTGGTGTGTAAGAAAACACTCTATTAATTTAATAAGCAAAGTGTGAACTGGAAATATTGTTCTAAGCATCTAATGGAGTTGCAAACTCTTGTGTGTTTACTAGAGGTAGTAAAAATAGCCAAGGGAAACATTTATTTTCCCAATTAATTAATGCCCTATTATTTTAAGAAACAAAGTTGCTTATGCTTTTTACACATATTTAGCATCAAAGTGCTTTTGAAAACCATTATCAAGGCTCTTAAGGTATCATGTTTAATAAAAATAGTCTCTTTTGAACATGATAATATAAGAATTGAAACTTCTTTTTTTTTCAGTTTTGCTTTCCAGACAGCTATCACAAATACTTTCACTTCAGAGAACAGAGCAGTTAAATTCGTTTATTCAAGAGTCTGAATAAATAGGGTATTTTCTCCCACTGGTCATTTGAAGTTTAACCCTATGTATAAATTTTAAAGCTTTCATATGTTTTGGACCAATTGCAAAAGCCCCTTGGAACTGAAGGGGCTTCTGTCAGAGCTGTACTAGGCACAGCTCTGAAACTGAGGCCAACCAAGTGAGTGCAGGAACATTTTTAATTACTGCACCACCCTATGGATTTATGATTACTTAAGTGCACTTGACCCCACAAGTTGTCTAATCCTTCTTTTTAACTTCTCCACGGTCTATTAAACATCCCCTTTTACGAGACTCTCTGTTGGAATTACACCCTTGGTGGCTGTCTTTCCCACTTACAATGTTCTGACAGCTCTTAACATATTCCAGTCCAGATCTGACCTCTCAACAGTATGTGTCTAAATTGAGTCGATCTCACTGACAAAGATCAAACTGGTACTTAAAGTGTCTCGTGGCTGGACTTCCTTCCCAGCAGACACACAACTCCAAGCTGAAGTAAACATGAAAGGCTGCATGCAGCTGCAAGTGGTATTAGAATGGAGAACAGCGGAAGCCTCATATGATCTCAGCAGCAAGGGCTCCTGTGGCAGCAGCACAGGGAGAAGGCAGGGGAAATAGGTGACAGGCTCCCAGCCCTAGAGTAAATCCATGCCTAGAAAGCATGATGGTGATATAACCTGTGCATGATTAGTGATACCTGCCACACAACTCATGCACGATGATACAGTCAGCACCAGATAAATAAGTTCTCTGAATAGAAATGGAAGATTTTATGCTATTTCCCTTGATTCACTTGTACTTATGGCTCAGAAGTTTTCACAAATACCATCCAGAAAACCAGCTTCCCTACAAATCCAGGAGATCCAGCAGTGCAACATGCAGTATAGGTCTTCTGAATGGAAAAGAAGATTTGCTGGTTTCAAGTACATAAAGTAATTAATGAAACCTGTCCTGAAGGTGATTGCCAGCCGACATCAAAATAGAATAGAGAATCTAATTCCTACTCTTTTCCACAGAAAAGTCACAAACAATGTAGACAAAATTACTGGTTTTGCAGGGAGATGAAGAGTCTAAGCAAAGAGCTACAGCATCTACAGTTTTATCTGTGAATTCATTATTTACTTACAATCAGGCATTTCATTTTCCTTTGATGTTACATCCTCTTCTTTAGGACAAATATTCTAGCAGTCAGGGAGGAGAAAGCTCTTGATTTCACTTTCTTGAAAAAGCTATTTTACCACTGTATATTGGAAAACAGCTGACAACTATCTTCCTACAGGGCCTACAGAAACAGAACTAGTACAGAAAAAAAGTATTTGAACTAATTCTTGTAATACCAATGTAAAAGAAAATCATCTGCTTGCCAGACAAGTTCTTTAGGTCTAAGAGAGAATGTGTACTTTGAAAAAGAGAATCTATTTCCCAGCTAAAAATGTTCTTTGGAAACCATTCCATGCTCCTAGAAATTAATCCGTGAAGTTTATTTTCTGGCTACGTGGGTGGGGGAACACGGATCCAGGAAATACACTCATCATTCTCAGTGGATTAGAAAAGCGAATGTCTGTCTCGCACAGCTCTTTTAACATTCCTTGTTTCTCTCCTTATTTTCCTAGCCATTGTTTTTCCACTCAGTCTTGCACTGACTCTGATCTCACTGAATGCAAACTTGTCAATCCTGGATTTCTTTATCTGTATCCCATTCTTGAAGAACTGCTGTTATTCAAAGACTCCTAGTAAGTCCAAGCACCAAGGAAAAGAAACCCAGAGCCTTGGTAAGGTCTCACTGGGTGATTGTGAGGGGTTGGGACATCAAAGGTTCTCTCAGGTTCAAGTGTTAAAAAAATTATACCTCTTACCATCCTCGTAATGGAAGGGAGAAATCAGTTAAATTGGGGGTTTCAGAAAGCACCCAAACCAATTACTTTATATTTTGTTCTTATAAAGCAAAAACAAAACAAAGACCCAATTGCCCCTAGATAAATAGGTGAATATTTGTTCTGTACTGTACCCTAGCAGTGAGAAAACCACTATGTCATTTCAAGATATATGTATGTAGGTAAATATAACAATCACTAATATGACATATTTGCTAAGAAATGTTCCCTTCTTCATGTATTACGGAATGAACTGAAGAGTTCTCTTTATCCCCTCTCAGCTCTGTACTAGCTCTCCTCCTTGCCAGGGTGAAAAACACTGTGGCATTTCAATTCCACTCTGTAGCTAAGCATTTTCAGTAGACACCGTATGTTTCTTGCCTTGAGGCACCAAAGGCAATTTGTTAATTTGGTTGTTAATTCAGGGAGAGAGGGGTGTCATTTCACGGCTTCTGTGTAGTTCTCCATCCCTTAGCTATGTCTGGTTTTCTTCCAAATATACTGTGGGGTTTGGAATTTGTGGTAAAGTTTAGAAATTATTCTGGGATTTGCTTTTTCTCTCAAAAGGTACTTAAATTGAGGTATCTGGCTAGTACTTGGCAATTATTACTTAGAGAATAAAGCTTCTTGCTAAATCCTGTGTTGCACCTGGTGTAACACCTTCAGGCACTGTGCTGAAGGAAAGTGAGGGTATTTCTGGGGATTCCACTGGAGATGTGTGAAAACTTAAAATTTTAACACACACGATGTAACCAGCTCCTACTGTTTCTGAACTCCACATTTCAATAATACCATTGTTTTTCCTGCCTGCTATAAAGTGTCACAGGGTATGATGACAGTTAGCACTTCCCCTTCTCACATGATAAAAGGTGATGGCATCTGTCTTTAAGTACACACATAAATCTGCTGGAATTGCACACTATGAAACATTTTAGTCAAGATGTCAATTTCCTCTAGTATGAGAATATTATGCTGTGGAACTAAAATGCAGAATAGGATCAACAGTATCTAAGACATTTAACAGCCCTGAAGCTAGGCAGGGATGAACTAGCACACAGATTTCTTTGCACCCAGTATGAGTAAGTCTTTGACTAATGTAAACATTTTAAAAGCATTTAATGTGTATCTCATAATTACAGGAACACAGCAAGCCTTTTGTTGCATTGCTTTTTGGATGTTTTAAGTGGTAAATCCTGTATGCCATGTGAGTATCTGCTTCCGTTACAGTTGTTCTGGTTCCCAAGAAACAAAATCCTCTGCTTTTAAAAGCTTGGTTTTTTTCTTCAATTTTGTTATAAAAACTCATAGGATATATTTCATTTGCATAAAATTGCCACATACTTTCTGTGACTTCCTCCTGGGAGCATTATTTTTGACTGTGCAAAAACAAAATAGCTGCATTTTACAGTATTAACATAAACTGTCAACATAGAATCATAGAATCAACTAGGTTGGAAAAGACCTTTAAGATCATCAAGTCCAATCATTACCCCAGGACAGCCAAGACCACCACTAGACCATGTCACTGAGGGCCCCATCTACATGGTTTTTGAACGCTTCCAGGGATGGTGATTCCACCGCTTCCCTGGGCAGTCTGTTCCAATGCCTGAACACCCTTTTGGTGAAGAATTTTTTTCTAATATCCAATCCAAGCCTCCCCTGTCACTGCCTGAAGCCATTACCTCTTGTCCTATTGCTTGTTACTTGGAAAAAGAGACCAACCCCCAACTCACTCCATCCTCCTTTCAGGTAGTTGTAGAGAGCAGTAAGATCCCCTCTGAACCTTCTCTTCCCCAGAGGAAACAACCCCATTTCCCTCAGCTGTTCCTCGTTAGACTTGTGCTCCAGACCCTTCACCAGCTTTGCTGCCATCTTCTGGACCCGTTCCAGCACATCAGTGTCCTTGTAGTGAAGGGCCCGGAACTGAACGTGGTATTTGAGGTGTAGCTTTAATAGTGCTGAGTACAGGGGAACAATCACTGCCCTAGTCCTGCTGGCTGTTATTTCTGACAGAGGCCAGGATGCTGTTGGCCTTCTTGGCTGCCTGGGCACAAGCTGGCTCATGTTCAGTTCCATCAATCTGCACCCCCAGGTCCTTTTCCACCAAGCAGCTTTCCAGGTATTCTTCCCCAGTCCTGTAGTGTTACAATGCTTTACTTAAGTCCAAATAGACATTGTCCACAGCTTTTCCCTCATCAGCCAGGAGGGTCCCTTTATCATAGAAGGAGATCTGGTTATTCAAGCAGGACCTGCCCTTCATAAGCCCATGTTGACTGGCCCTGATCCCCCTATTTTCCTGTATGTGCTCTATGCTCTCACTTAAGATACCAGCCAATCTCTGATCCAACCTTCTTCTGTCAAAAATAAGACTACAATAATAAACAACTTAACTACTGAGCTGATCATCAGAGATTTCATTCGGTCTTTGCTAGATTCCTGGACAGGACAGAAATAATAATTAATACACATCACAAAGGCTGCTTTGATAATTTTGACAGTTAAACCCACTGAGTTTTCTGACTTGAACTTGCACGTCTTATTTGAGGTAGTTTTCCCTCATCTGAAGACTAAAGAACCTTTATGAATCTGTGAGACAACACTTTCATTGGTACAAATTCTTGCAGTTCCTCCTTTTTAGCTCTGACATCCTATAATACAGAGTTCATCGAAAGCCCTATTCAGACCTTTTCTACTCTTCCCAGTAAGTGAGCATTCAAGTATCAGTGCAAAACCATAATACTTTCTATTTAAATACTGTACGTATCTATTCCTTGGAAAAAATATACTGTAAAATGTCCAGGTTCTTTGGCCAGTTCAATTTGCGGTCATTGAACCCTCTAATCATATTCTTTGCCTGTGTCTTTTTCTCCCTCCAGCCATTTTGTTCTGTTTCAAGGGCCTGTGCTGCTTTGGTCAGTTAATGTTCCCCTGTGAGAACTCAGCTTTAGCGTAGCTGCTGAAATACAAAACAAGGCAAAAAAAAGAAAAAAATTTAAAAAAATTGTCTTGGTTCCTTCATATTTTTCTGCCGCTCTTCTCATTTTCAAGTCTTCTTCCATGCCAAGACAACAGAACTGCTCTCTTTTCCATGGTATGGACTCTAGGAAGCCCTTTGTCTTGCAACACCTCTTCTCCCTGTCCTTAACTCCTCAAGTCCTTCTTCCTTTTGTGACATGATCATATCACATATCTCAGATACCACCCTGACTTTCTTATTTCTGGTTTCACAGGGTCACGATGTTTTTGTTAATCCTGAATGTGTCTATAACTGACTTCAGAAGTCAGCCTAACTGGGACAGCACACAGGAGACCTTGGCAGGAAGAATGCAAAAGCAAAATCTCCAAAAAAAGGTTTCTCACTGGATGTGGGATTGTTACATGAGACTTTCTTCTAGGATGGGATACAGATTTCAAGTAGTCTGGTTCTTAATATCCAGGCTAAATCATCAAGAACAGTACAAACCATGGTATTTAAGTTAAGAAGAGTAAACAGCAATTTTCAGTAATGTTGTTGCTCTGTTCTAACACGCTGTATGCTGTGGCTGAACCTGCCAACATCTGGACTGTGAATATTCACTGCCAAAGCTGCACTTGGTGGTTGCCAAACTGCTGAGCCCACGTGTGGCTTCACAGCTTGATATCCAGAGAACTCAACTATGATTCAAATTCTGAAAAATCTCTGGGTCTATGGTTGCAGTATGATTCAGCAGTTTGGAGGACAGCCTTCCTAAGGGAAAAAAAGGAAACAGCAGCAAAAAAAGTCCCACACTGACCATATATGGCATACAACTCTTAACGAAGAAGTCAACTCCTTGAGCACCTTCACCTTACAACAGAGCTCCATAACTTGACTGGTTGGTACAACATACAGCTTATCACATGCATCAGGAGCTGAATTCTGCTCCCCATGCAGAACTATGCAAACTCAGATGAACTCCACTAATTTCAGTGGTACACATCTTGTTTAAATATAAATATACAGAAGCTCCTCGACATGCCTCTTGCCGGTGCTATTTGAAGTAAGCCTGAAATCATTAACCAGGTAGACAGCAGCTTCCTTACCTAAGAAAGCCTCCCGTGGCATTCCAGGAATGCAGTTAGAGAGGTGGATTCAGTCCCCACCACACAAAGATACTTGATTTGTAAATGAATTAAGGCTTGTGAACTGACAAGCAACAAAACCCCTGGTTCTGCACACCCATAGAATGCACTGGGAACCTCAATCCTACACTAATTGCTCTGTGTGCTCCAGGGATGTTTGCACACACATAAAAGTTAACCATAGCTTGCCAAAATGAGGTGCCTACCAGCCTGGTACATGGAAGAGTTCAGCTGCTAATTCACATTGCAAACCCTATTCCTCAAACTTGGCTCCTTGCCTTCTTGAAGATAAAAATAGTTAAACTGTGATTTTTGCTTCATTTATTGATCATTCGGGTGGGCCAGCACTCCACCAAGGCATGAGAGTGCACAGCCCTCATGCTGTGCTGCTCAGCCCTGCCTCGTCAGACAGGCCAGACACCGTCCAGCCATCTGTACTGCCCTCATTCTTCTGGTGATGAAGCCTATGCTTCCTTTGCCAAGCAGAGTGGCTTAAGGAATAGTCTCTAGTCCTTACAAAATACATGCTCGGTCATTCGGGAAATAAATGAAAAGAAGTGGAATAAATGCTGCTCCAGTTCAAGCTGAACAATTTGTTCAGCACTACAGAATGTTGCTTTAGGAAAGCTTCCTTTTAATATAGTACATGAGACAAATGGACCCCTTTTTTCTCATTCCCTTCTCTTTAACAGTAATTGAATGAAGTGGAGATTGTGAGGTAAAATCAAGCACATCTGGGTCAATTAGCATGGAAAGTCAATTCTTTAAAACCTGATGGATGCCTCTGGGAATCGCGCACTTCACAGCACGAATCTCAGCGCAGTGCCGCACTCTCAGCCACTCAACTCAATTAAGCCATTACGTGGTTCTTTAAATCTGGGGATCCAGGGGAATTGGTTAATTGTCTGCTTGTCATGGTTCCTCCTCAGGGAGCATGTAAATGTCTTCTGTTTCTCCTATAGATGCACGGTGCACATAAGAACAATCCATTTTAGCTGACTTATTCAAAGCTTATTTCTCCCGTGGGAAAATTAATCTTCCTCCTCAAACAGTGCCCAAAAGAACAGAGCTTTCCAGTGGAAACAAACCACCCAATCAATATGGAATAGGTTTTCAATTACTACAGTCAAGTTTATATTTCTTTTTCCCTACAAGACTCAACTACTTCTTCATGCTTTCACTTGTTTATAGCTTTCACAACCAAACTCCTCAGGACTGCAATGGGGTTTCACCATTCTCTGCAGCTATGAGCAGCTCAGCTACACCCTTGGACTTACCTATTGTGCTGTAAGTCACCTGCTGACTTTGCAGTCATCAAAGCCCAAGGATGCCATTTAAGCGTTTATGAAGCACTTTACTCTGTGGACAAAACTGAGCATTGACAGAAGATAAGATAACTCAGATCACATCTGGATAGATGGGCAGGATGACACATCCAGGCCTGATCATCTGTCCCCACTGAGAGCGGCTCCAGATCCACTGAACCAAGAGGTCCACTGAAGAGATTTCGAATAACCAGCCTAAGGCAGACATTCCACTTTTAGAGAGTAAAATTAGTGAGATTAATCCGAGCCACATCTCCACACCACTGTGACAACCACCCAGGAAAGACAGACGGCTGTCCCTGTCTCACCACACCACATCAGTGAGCTCCTCTTCATGTGCACACAAAAGGCTGCTTTCACTCTCCTTTTGCTTCATGTTTCAGACTGCTGGACACCCAAAATCTCTAGTTGGCCTTGGTGGGAGACAGTTACTGGGTGCTCAGGGTTGTGGAAAACAAGTGACCCCATTTAGCCCCTAAATAGAGATTTAGAAGGCTAAAATTAGCTTCAGGTTTTTTTAAAACTTGGCATGGTATTAAAATCCATCCATGGGGTGAGTTAATTTTTTACCATCAAAGAGAAGTAAAATGACTTCTTCAAGGTCATACAGCAGGATGACTAGGATTAGAATGCCACAAATATCCTTGTGCTATAACCAGAAAATTATTCTGTTTCCTAAATGTAACATAATTGAGACATAGTTTGATAAATGGAGACTGAGTAAGCCACACTAAATCTACTGATGTGTTCTGCAATGTCTGGATGCATCCCCAGCCCTAGCTATGAAAGGAAATGTAATTACAGTAATGGGAAAGTGCAGTCCACCCATCATTTGGGTTACCACACAAATACGTAGCTGACTCCAAATATAGAACTGCAGCAATGTTTCTTACACTCTTATCTCTCTTAGATGTCTTTTCCTTAAGTTATTAGCTTGCCGTCTTCTCCTCTGACAGGAGAAACAATCTATTTTAGTGTAGCCCTACCAGCAAAGGGCTGTCACATCCTTCAGGACACAGGGAACAGCTGCTCAGAGTTTTCACCAGAGAGCTGCCATTGGAGACAGACACCTTCATTTGCCCACGTAGGTGTAACCAGAGTGTTTGCTCAGGCGCAATGCTGGGGATGAGGGAGGGAAGCTAAGCCTGAGGAAGAAAGTTCAAGTAGGAGAGGAAGATCAGGAAACCAGAAAATTTCAGAAAGCACCCTTGTGTTTTGGAACCTATACCAATTTTAAAAACGAGGCATATGTCTCTTAGTGCAGTCTCAGCCATGAATGCAGGGCAGTGTAGAAATTCATAAGCCTCATTTAAACAGCCTAGTTTTGCTCTAGAGAAGCCAAACAGCATAGCACAGAGTCCAGGGTAACTTACACAGCTCCTGCGATGGCAGTTTAGACCGGTCAGCTCCTCAGGTGTAGAAAGGTAAATTTACATTGGGATCCTTAGCATATATCACTCACTTGGGCTACATCATCTGAAGTACCTGTCTTCAGAAGTATGTGTGTGTAACTTAAAAACTTCAGCTGCAGTCCCAGAGTACGTGCAAGGAATCCTGACAACAAACTTTCTGGCTCTCCTTCCTTTCTGCAATCCAGGGACACAGTGCCAGACACTTTTCCTCCTGTGGTGGACCGGCATGCAATTATTTTTGTGCACTTCAGCTTGCCTTGGCTACAGAAAAGAAGGGAGATATTTGATTAACTTTCATGTTCTGCACCAGAGTGTGATAGATAGCTGCACTTCCAGGTTCACCAAGTTTTTGTGGGCAAAGGAGAAATGTCTCATTGCCAGATGTCTATGAAGGCATTTAGTGGTATCTAAAGTTGAAAAATGAGTTCTGAGTAACTTTAAAATGCTAGCATCTTTAGGTTGTCATACCTAGATTTTTACCATGAGTTACAGGAGTATAATCAGAGGCAGCAGTGAGAATTAGAGAAATGGATTGCGACCTGCACATCCCACAAGGCTATCTTCTTGGAAACATCTTGCTCTTGCACTGAGCAACAGCGTGTTGCAGCCAAGTTGTCCTTCCAGCCATGGCAGGGACAGCCAGTCCCAGCCAGTCCCAGCATGTTGGTGGCAGCTCCTTCAGCGTTCAGAGCTTCTGGACACAGCCACAAATCAGAGCTTCACATTGAAGGGACTCTGTCCACTTTCCACCCTCAACCAAAGCAACATGATAGCTCTGTTCTCAGTGAAAGTAATATGGATGCTCATGTACATGCGTCTGGACCAATTGTCAAGCTGTTGCAGATCCAAGATGCTTTAATTTCCTATTTAGAAAAAAAAGGGAGAAAATAAATCAGCAAACTACCTCTTCTGCCTTCTGCCGTTCTTATTACCTGGAATTCACCAAGATTGGTGCCTGATCAATCATGGCTGGAAGAAGAAAATAAGGAAGGACTAGAGTAATCACAGTAAATTCAATCCAAACAAGCCAACTGCAGTGTGAAGGCTTCGTAGATGTTTCCTAATTGACATGCAAGGAGTACCCCCAGTCCACTTTCTGCTAAAAATGTACCTGCATCCCAGAGTTAACACAGAGGCCAGTAGCAGCTGAACTGCCTTCTAACCATAATGTACAGTAGCCCCTACAGTTGAATGTATGTTATATATATGTTGAGGAAGGGACAGACCATTGCATGGCAACTGCATGTAGCATAGCCAATTCTTGACTGCCCTGCATATTCTGTGATTAATCTCCTATTCTGGTTCAGAGACTGTGTAAAATGCTGTTACCATGTTTACATTGGCTTCACTTTGATGCAAGGGACTATATGAAATATCACACACAAACAAAAGACAAGGCCTTCTTCTAGAGCTGTCGACAGCACCTTTGCAACAGTGCAAAATAAATAAATAAATGAATAAATAAATAAATAAATAAATAAATAGAAAGGGAAGCATTTGCAATGAATAAGGACTTGCTTTTCTGACCCTCCAACACCCAAGGCAGCACAAAACCTGGTATGTTCTCCTTGGCATTACAAATATATACACACAGAAACATACTTGCACATACCTACATAGACCCAAAACCCTTTCCCCAGGAATGTGGCCTTCCCTTTTCAGATACGTACCAGCAGCAATGCATACACTGAAGAAACAGAGGCAGAAACCAGTCACATTTTTTCACACAGTAGTTTTTATTCTGCTTGCAGCAATTCCCTCCTTTTCCAGCCACAGACAAGGGTTGAAACTAGATGAGCCAAAGGCAGCCTAGGCGGGATGTAAATGAGACCACACCTTCCAAACACCCTCCAATCATGAGGGAAGAGCATGGATGTAAATAAAACCACACCTTTTGCTGGACCAGCCTCCTCTTCTTGCGTAAAACAGTTTCCATGTACATAAGACCACTCCCTCAGACAGCCTGCCTATTTCCATTCCTGATGAGAGGCATGCAAGGAAGGCCAATCCTTTTTACAATCTCTAAAGCAAAACAGACAGGAGTGTAACATTTACCCTTCTCTTGCTCAGAGAAAAGCTACTTCCTTCTTTGGAAAGCACTTTCTTGCTCTGTGTGGGATATCATAAGCCAGCACAAATCTCTCCTCAGTTTTCCTGTCAGCCATTTTATGAACAAATTGCCTGCCTACAGGATATGGGTACACATTTTAAGATGTAACTTCTACTGTGCACTGACAAGCCTTCTCAGTCTTTAAACTGACATTAGATAGGTGCTTTCCTTCCAACTGGGCAGAGTTCAGAAAAATGCAATGGAAACAGTGAGATCCTCCTCCGTTTTCTCTTATATCCTTCTTTCCACACACACATCCAGAACTGATTTAGAGATTTCCAACCCAGTTCAAAGCAAGAGGCTTGTCCCAGAAGGTAAAGAACTAAACTGCAGCCAGGCTACAGTTTAACTTTTTCCAGATGTCCGAGCTCACTACAGTCATCTCTCAAATTGATTCTGGTTTGGGCCAACAAGCAACTTAAACAGCAGTAAAACATTACTATCAATGAGAATCATTTAACTACTTAGATACACTTAAGGTGTCTAGGTTAGGCAAACAACTTGAAGGAATTCTGAGAGGAAAAACACTGTTCTCATCTACACTCTTCACAGTAAAAAAGTCCTGGAGGAATGAAACAGGCAGACTCCAACCTCCTAGAACAAGATACATGAGGCAGAATGAAAGTGCTTCCAATACCACACACTTTAGCCAAAAAGGTGGTTTTAAATAAAATTGGGGGTGTACTCCATTCCCATAGAAATGGTGGAAACACAGATGTTGTCCAAGCTTAGGAAACAAAATTGTCCACATTTTTGATGTTTGTACCAAAGGAAAAGCTACTGCTTTGAACATTTGATGGAAGACTGTTAAAGGAAATCATTATTATTATCGTGGCTCCCACCGGTGTTACAAAAGACCAGGATCTGACAACATTTTCCTTATAAATCCATCTTTCAGTAGAGTCTGAGTTGGCCTGAAATAGCTAGTTGGACCAAAATCTGGATTGTGATATCTCTGGAAGCAAAACTGCATCTGGCTGTTTACAAAATTCTGGTCTACAGAGACTGTGAGAGCAGAAGAGGGAGCATTTTTAGTGGTTAAAGCTGTCTGTCTTGTTTGTGCTGCTTTACAGCGCTGATCAGCAATCAGCAACCAAAAAGGAAGTTTGGAATTAATGCTGATGAGCATCCAGAAGTCTGCATGCACATTCAACCATCTCCTCCAGTGTTTTCTTCTGAAACATGCAGCTGGCACAAAACACAGGTTGTCTCATGATATATCTGGAGTTCACATTTCCAAGGACATCCTGGACAAAACCCAGCAAGGACCACAGAAAGAAAAGAAAGATTCCCAAACATTCTTGATTTTCAGCAAAGAATTATTTCATGCCTGGTCTTAAAACTAGGCTATGTCTAAAACATGATTATTATACTAACTTAATGAACCAGTTCATTAGGCTTGAAGGGTAGCACTCAAACCAAAAGACAGATGGGAGTTTTCCTTTTTGAGCCAGCCCCCCCCAAACTGCCTACCCTAAAGATGTACACTTTAATGGAAGCCAGAGAAGAAGTAAAATAGGAACAGCAGTCATAGGGTAAGTCTGATTTGACAGATACTTCATTTCATGGAGTAACAATACTGGTTCCCATACATAGCTCCTGCGTCATTGCACTGTTCAGTGGCCCAGGCAATGCTCCCGTACATGTAGCACACCCCAGATCTCTATTTGCTTCTACAGCTTCCTTTCACACTTCAACTTCCATAGTTGTAAAAATGAAAGGAGACAATTGTGAAGTTCATTATTATTTCCCTGTATGAAGCTAATTAGGCACTGGGCAGAACAGCAATGGGCCCTGGTACAAAATCTACCACAGGCTGCTCTTTCAGTCATACGTCTATATGTTTTTCTGCTTTGCAGTTTGTTTATCTTCCCTTCAGTGTTTTCTTCTCTTACCATTTCTGCTCCAGTTTATGCCACACACCTCTTCTTCCTCACTCCTCCTTCTTCATAATGCTCAGCCCTTTTCCGGTCTCCATGCTCTGGCTACTGTCATCTTGCACTTAACCTCCACTATCCTTTCAACTGCAACACCCCTAAACTCAAACCACCTAACCTGCACTCTCAGGAAACACCCATTCTGGGTTATTGGTTCTCCCCTGTTTTACCAGATTTTACAAGCTCTTTTACACAAAGATGCCCTTAATATGTGAAGCACAACTGGCAAAAAACAGAACATGAGCGTGGTCTCTTCAACACAGTGACTGTTTTATTGTGCATTCCTGCAACACTCTGCACAACTGATACCCTTTGCACACTAAATTACTATTAAAAATGCATTACCCCATCAATTATGTCTTAATTTTGCTAGTTCAATAGGTTAGATAAATCCCGTACATTTTAATTATCTAATTACTTAGACCCTTTAGGGACACAGTCGCTTAAACTTAGAACTATTTTGTGAACAAAATCTATATAATGGCATCTGAGATAAACCTTGAAACAAAATATTACAAGAAAGAAACTGCTTTTGGTGAGAGACCAATAAACACACTGTAAATTCTGACGGTTTGCACAAGAAACACTGAGTCGTGAATGACTATTCCAGAAATGGAAAAACAGAGAGTCTCTTGACATCCAAATAGGGTGAGCAGGCAGTGCTCCAACAAACAAATCAGAAGTGGAAAGAGAAAAAAAAAATGTCTTCTCGTATCCAAATAGTTTTGAAAATGAAAACAGGGACTAAGAAAGAAGAATTAAAACATGGAAGCTGAAGCCTATTCCCATATTTTATTGCGCCACTTCAAATAAAGCTAAATGCAGGCTCAATCTTGGTGAGAAACAACATACTCTGTTTTTTTCCAGTGTTAGATAAGACTCACTGACGAAGATGGAGTTTAAAATAAAATGGGATATAATCCGTGCACAGAAAGAAAGGTCATGCTGCTGCTTCTTCTTTTCTTAAATGCAAAGATGACTTTTCTAACCTGTGCACTTGGGAGGTGATAGATCAGGTTAATAAGGCCCCCACATCAGCTCCTCCCCAACCCATTCTAGAAAGCAGTGAGTCTGAAAGAGCAACTGCTGGTAACACTGACAAGTGCTTAATGCTACTGCTTTTTGCTACGAAAAGCAGGAAAACCTCTGAAGGAATAACCTGCACCAGCAAATGCAGCCCACAGTTGGGTGCTCTGAAAGCACCCCTGGAACATCACCCTTCTGGGAGATGCTTGAAGGGTTATGGCAGAAATCGAACTACAGCTACTCTGGAAAGTGTTAGATCAGTGTTAGATCCTTTCTGCAGGGGCACTTAGATGAAACTTGATAAACACAAAATGGTCATGAAGCAGCTGTGAGAAGTAACACCTTTGTGTGTGAGTGCCATGAGAGAATGGTTTAGTACCCCCAGGTCTCCAAAGAAGCTCTCACTAGACTCAAACCCTCCTGCTCTGTGTCTCAGGAACCTCCCTTGCAAACCCAGCTTTGAAAAAGTACAACATGCAACTGCTGATTCTGTACAAGTAGTGAAGCTTTAGCCAACACTCCCAACCATAATGTGTACTCAAGCACAGGACTCAAGTAAAATCACAGAAGATGCAGAATGATGGCTGTAGGTCTCCAGAGAAGTCCTTTACCTGATGGGCTCACTGACCTGTTATCCAACACTGACCCTTTGAACTACCCAATCCAAGGCTCTGTATTGCAGACATTCACAACAACGAGATTTGTTTTAGAAACAATTACAGGGCAGAAAACAGTAAAAGTGCATTATTAAATTTGCTTTTACACAATAAGCTTTAATAACTCTAAATGAATCATAGAATACTTTTTAAGTATTCTTTGATGTGGGCCAGAAAATGGATTTTCTGCTCCTTGAAGAACACTGGGTTTCTAAATGTCTCTCCAGCCCCAGTTACAGTGGCAGACGTTATAAAATCTCACTCAAATCATTTTTCAGGCCAAGCAAGACCAGTAGGTCATTGACACAAAAAGAATTTAAAATTAAACTCCCCCAGTGTTTCTCCCTTCCAAAACCAAGCCAGAACACTGACACGTTTAAAAACAAAATAATGCCAAGGTTTTTCTAAGCTTTATTTTGCAGAAAATTCATGCAACTGATGCACAAGGTCTATTTCATCAGGATGCCTCTTCCTAATGAAAACAAGCTCCAATTAAAGCTTCCCAGTTGACAGAGAAATTTAAGGAGAAAAGACTACAAATGTTCCTGGTGACTTTTTTTCTCAGTTGAGAAAATGATAAGCTATATAAACTGCATTGAGCAGATGAGCAGGCAGAGGCCCCAACTTTAAACACACAATCAAAAATAGAGAGATGGAGATCTGAATGGGGATCTGAAGGGGATTTTTGTAGCCTGTCTGTAGTTCTGCCTGGTTCCCTGAGAGGAAAACAAATATCTGACTGGTTTATATACTCTTGGGGAAAAAAAAAAAATAATCCTGTCATAATTTTTAAGTGTGTTGATCATAGTTTATTTTTAGATCTGATAAACCACAGAAACATCTCCAGAATTATTCTAAAGAAACACAGTGACCTTTCCAGCTTGGAAGGCAGAGATGCTTTAACAACAACATCCAATGTGTGGTACAGGCTGGATAAATCTAGAAGACCCCTCGATGGCCTACCAAAAAGCCTCCCATATTCACCTATATCCTGTCCCATAAAAACTTCTCACCTAGGTTACCAAAGGTAGTCTTAACTATCAGCTCATACTCAGAAGCAGATCAAGGAAGAGGGAGCACTGCTCTGAAGACAGAAAAGGATGCTCATGGGAACCCAAGCTACAGGCAGTAAGAAACAACTGCTAGCTTTACCTCTGTGTTTGAGGAGGCAATTCACCTAAGACCCAAGCAGAAACAAGGAAAGGTGCTGAAAAGGCACTGAGAATCAGACTGCTTCAGGAATGAGAAAATAACAGTCAGGAAAAGGAGAAAGCTTCCAAAATGAACTGGGATTTAATACACAAGTGATGCAAAAGTAAGTGAATGCTTTCCAAAGGGCAAAGGTGGGCAGGGAAGAAAGTTTTACCCCGTGCTCTGGTGATGACATGCTACAGCTGGTCAGGCAGAATGCCACCACTGTCCTATGGTCCATCTGCTGAAGCTATGTATAGGGTATTGTATTATGTCTAACAATTATCTCAGCTCCTACACTTACTTGCCAATTCAAAACTTCCTTCCAAGCAAGAACAGTCATTAGCCAAGAGGATCACAGACCTTGGGTCTTACTTCACCAGAAGTCTCCTGGCATCAATACTGTGGCTCCATGTCACATAAATTATTGGCACTCTACTGTCTTAACCTTTGGAGGTTTTTTCTTTCCAACTTCCCTGTTATTCTCACCTTAGCTCCCCCCAAACCCCTAATGCATTGGTTCACTTAGTCTAGGACTACCAAATGTACTTTAAGTCCTGCAACTACATTCCTGCTTGGCTTTCTTGGTAAATATGTGTGGGACACAAGTTCTTGTTACCTTGGCTTTTTGTGTGTGTGTGTGTGTGTATTAACAGGGGTTTTTTACTAAGTGATGATAATGTACTGCTCTGTGTTGGTCTGCTGGAAAAGCAGGAGAAATGAAGGAATTTTGAGTAAAAACATAACTTTGCCAAGATCTGCTCTGATAGCCTTCGAGAAACAAAAATTAGACACCTCATCCATTCATCAATAAATTTGGCTTGAAATACAGCATATGTGGTTTTCTTGATGGAATTATATCATAATAAAATAACCTTTTTAATATGTCAAAAGAGTATTACAAATCTGCTGTGGACACAATGTAAAATGAAGCCTCTGCAGGAAAAAATCTGTGACCTCTAGCACCAGAAACACTCATTTATACATTTTCAGCTAAAAGAATGATTCAACAGTAACCATGCTGCCCATTCATCCTAAACCACAATGAAGAGCAGAAATAGAAAAACACATCTAGTCAAAGTGTTGGATGCCTTAAACCCTCAAACATCAAAATCTTTTTTGGCTTTTTTTTTTTTTTTCCCCTGAAAAGATACAGTGATGAAACCAGAAAAAACATAGAAAAGGTTTGGAATTATAAACCACTTAATGCTTGTTTGACTCTTGGCTTTGTCTTTGTACAGGTATTGATTCTTCAAATATTCCGAAACATACACCATGTCCAAAATTAGTATCTTGACATAATGCTTTGCAAAAGCACTCTAATCACACTCTGGGTTTTTATATTGTTAGCTGCCTACCTTTTGATTCTCTTCTTTCACACAATCAATCATACTTTGTTGCCAATTTCCTCAGCAAATGTTCTAGGAAGAAGCACTGACAAACCAAGCTGAAAGTGCTTTAGAAAGAGTGGAACAAAAGTGTAGGTGTCTTTAAAAGTGATTTATGTGACACTGTGACACTGACCCAGTTCAGTGCTCTCCAGCTTTTTATTCCTGCAAGAGTCCAGGTGAGTGCAACAAACTGTGGTACAAGTTTCAGTATGTTTCTGACTTTAATACCTTCTATAACTCCTGCATCACTGAACTAAGGGCTATTTTGATGCTGCTCTGAATTTATTTCATTTTCTATTTTTCAGTTTATTTTTATCTCCGGTTAACTCCATTAATTTGTAACAACCAGCCCTAAGAATAAACAAGAAACATGAGGTTTAGGCACAATTTTGCCAAATGTATAAATATTCTTGTTATCTTAGATGTTTATTGTTGAAAAAAAACAGCCTTGCATTCCTTGAGACTTCTAATATACTCACCATAGTTTCATTCAAACCTCAATACATTACCTCCTGAAAGCAAAACCAAATTCCTTATGTCTTATTTGGAAACTGGACCGTTTTCTTCTTTTGTGTATGTTAGGCACAAGGTCGTGGAACAGCCACTGAATTTATCAATATACTATACACAAAGAACGTGGATTTCTCCCAGATTACTTCTGATGACTGTTCAACAGTCCAGGAATAACAGATGCACAAAAAACCCAGAAAAAATTCACCCAAAGTATTGTTTTCCTTCCCATCCTATGTTTGCCATTAAAATCAAAAGCAATGACCTGCTTGCCATATTTTCCTCTGCATTCTAAACACATTTAATAAGTAATACACAACATTGTAATTTCTCATGATAGGTTACAGAAACATAAATATGATTTTTGCATTTCTCCTTTAATTCCTCCTTTTTCCTTGCTTCACTGTCTTGTTACAGATCTGTACACTGAGATCAGGAGGATTTTATAAATGAAAATGTGCCTGATTCACTCCTTTTGGCTCATTTTGGATCATTTGCTTTCCTGATCATTAAGTAGCTCCTGAAAATTACTTCATTCTTTCCCAAAAATTGTTGACCAGGTTGTCCAATGATAAAAATCTGCAACACAGACTCCAAAAGCAGCCTGTTCCTGAGTACAGCAGGGCAAGGAAAAATGGAGACTGGCATCTGAAGGTGCTCCCAACAGCAGTACCCAGACTTCCCTGCAGACACGTCTTTTCTTCTTCTGGCGAATGAGTTTGCCCGTGGTTAAACAGATGAACACTGTTTATTGGTGGTAAAATGCTGTGAAGGTGGTGCGAAGGATGCTGCCAAGCCCACCTCATCCTTGGCTGGTTCATTTTCACCACTCTCCTCACACACCATTTCCTCCATTTCCTTCTGTATTCTCTCCTAAGCTCTTCCCACACAAACACGTGTGTGAGCTGCTCTCTTCAGCCCTGTTTACCCTTTCTCACTAAGCACCA